ATTTGTTCTAACTTGAACATGAACAGTTCTTCATAACAACACATTTGTTCTAACTTGAACATGAACAGTTCTTCATAACAACACATTTGTTCTAACTTGAACATAAACAGTTCTTCAACAATTTACAGGATTACCAACAAAGGATGAGACTGTTAAGTCGACCAGCTAAAACTTATATTATATCACGGTCCCAAGGGTTAATAAAGTCTACTGCCTTGATTATAGTTTTTTTTAATGGTGCATGACCTAACCCTTGAAATGACCCTGCTTCATTCTAGGCTGCTCCTGGACAGAGTACACCAGTCTGACTCCATTCTAGGCTGCTCCTGGACAGAGTGCACCAGTCTGACTCCATTCTAGGCTGCTCCTGGACAGAGTGCACCAGTCTGACTCCATTCTAGGCTGCTCCTGGACAGAGTACACCAGTCTGACTCCATTCTAGGCTGCTCCTGGACAGAGTGCACCAGTCTGACTCCATTCTAGGCTGCTCCTGGACAGAGTACACCAGTCTGACTTCATTCTAGGCTGCTCCTGGACAGAGTACACCAGTCTGATTCCATTCTTCTTCTTCCCTGCTCATTGCTGTAGATGGAACTTTTCATGGTTAAAGATTCACAGTTATCCGGAGTTCAATCCTCTTATCTTTGCTAGACTTCATGTTTGGATTATCTTTGTTATGATAGAATGACCCTTGGTTGGTTTACACGATATAATAAATAATATTAAAAAATGTATGTCACTTTTTTCATCTCCAGTTTATTTCGTTAGCAAAATCTATTAATCAAATATATTTTACTATGAAATTAATTTTTTAATATAAAATATATAGTCACCAGCTGTCATGTTTCGAGGAACACCCTGTATTTTCTCATTATTTTTATTTTATTTTCTTGGCCTGATTCCGCTGTACATTTTCATGTGTCCTGCAGTAATTTAGAAAAAAGTTTAATAAATCTTCATAGTCGATATGGGACACCCTGTATAATGTATAAGAATTCAGTTTAAAGTGAGATGTATGATAAAGTTTAGGTTCACTCACCAATCTCTTAAGAATACAAAATTTTTTAACCAAGCATGCAGCCTGCATATAGTCCATGTCAATCATCATGCCAGCGTGCGTGCATAATAAGTTCGTGCACTTATTAAATTTTTTGTTAATACAGGGTGTCCCATCACCCATGGGAATTGTTTGACGATTGTCATCATCCATTTGAAAGGACAAATTTAAAAAAAAATAATTTACACGACCCATGACCATGGGTCTATTTTTAAAGTCCTCATGTCTAAAAGAGTTAAATAAATATTTTAGAAACTTTTAGTCATTTTGGTACAAGTGAATGAATTAAAGCTGAGACGAAATTCTAATTCTAAACAGAAAGTCAAACCACGTTTGGAAATCCCATAATTACAGAAATATGGTTTTAATTGTTTTGAGCATAACATAAAGACCTTATATTTCTGAGCTCCCTAGTTTGCATGAACCTTGAAACTAACCTCAAGCTATATCAGGGCATTAAAAAAAATTGTTGATAGGGGAGAACAAAAAAAACTATAATATTCAAGCATATTCTCAGTACAAACAAATACATTCAGTACTAAAAGGTTTATTTAATAAGGAAATATTCAGACTAAGAAAATTTTTTCCAATGCTTAATTTTTATTTATAAATAAAAGCTATTGAATTTTATATTACCGTTGATCCATGTATGAAGACAATGTTGTCGTATTTTGAATATAATAAGATTATAATCTTTTCTCTTGCAAATTTAGTTTATTGTTTAATAGAATTAAAAACATATTTTAAGGTTGAAATATTTTGTTATGTTAAGATAGAGATGTCAAAAATAGGGCTGGGCAAAGTTCCATTAACAGAAAGAAGGTTTTCAAAATAAACGGAAGAGTCCGTTTACCAACGGTAAAAACCGTTGATTTTTAAATCGTTTAAAGAAACGGATTAGCCGTTTTTGAAAACAAAAATTAATGGTGGAAAACGGAAATGGAATGGTTTTTTAAATCATAATTTTCTTTTTTTTTCTGCTTAAAACTGCATCAAACTTGTAAATAAAGAAAAACAAATTTACATTTATGATGTCTTTAAATGTCGTCTTTTGAATTTCAAAATTTGAATTTGAATAAAAAATGTGGATTTTGTCCAGCAGTGAAAGAATCTGGGTTCTCCTCAGAATAGGGTAAATATAGTTGATTTAGTCATCTAGGTAACACTCAGAACGCAAAAAGGATAAATATAGTTCAACTGCTAATGCCGTTAACTATTTGACAAACCGTTAATGTCGTTAATACTATACAAAAGACCGTTTACAGCTGCATTGTTAACGATTCTATAACCGATATTAACAATTTTTTTTCTGCACTTTGCGCCATCAATAATGTAATTGACCGTTTACGACTAAAGCTGTTAATAATTGTTAATAGTTTTCCGTTAATGTCATTAATAAAATTGAGATTGTTAACTAACGGTAGTTTAAAAACCGGTAAATGCCAATAACGAGACGAACATTTCGTTCTTTCCTTTAAAATTAACTGCTACCTGAAATTTTTCTCTTTTAATAGTTGGAACTGATCTTTAAAGAAAAAGTTGGAACGAGCCCAGCCATAGTCATAAACTGCACCAAATCCCTTACGACGGGGAACAAAGGGAGAAGGGACCACCCCTGGAACATTAAACAGCGCACGGAGGTTTCAAAATTAAACCATTTAAGGGATTCCCTTTAAAAGGGAATCTACAAATATCTAGATCTAGTCTAGTAGTCCGGTACAGTACAGTACAGTCCAGTACAGTCCAGTACAGTCCAGTACAGTCCAGTACAGTCCAGTACAGTCCAGTACAGTCCAGTACAGTCCAGCAGATAGTAGTCCAATAGTCCATTTGTCCAGTAAATCCCGTAGTCCAGTAGTACAGTAGTCTAATAGTTTAGTATAGTCCAGTAGTACAGTTGACCAGTCGTTCGATAGTCCAGTAGTCCAATAAAGTCCAGTAGTCCAATAAAGTCCAGTAGTCCAATAAAGTCCAGTAGTCCAATAAAGTCCAGTAGTCCAATAAAGTCCAGTAGTCAAATAAAGTCCAGAAGTCCAATAAAGTCCAGTAGTCTAATAAAGTCCAGTAGTCTAATAAAGTCCAGTAGTCCAATAAAGTCCAGTAGTCAAATAAAGTCTTATAGTCTAATAAATTCCAGTAGTCCAATAAAGTCCAGTACTCAAATAAAGTCCAGTAGGCCAATAAAGTCCAGTAGTCTAATAAATTCCCGTAGTCTAATAGTCTAATATTCCAGTAGTCCAGTAGTCCAGTAATCCAATTGACGATTGGTTCAATAAGTCCAGTAGTCTTTTAGTCCAGTAGTACAGTATTCGAGTAGTCCAGCAGTCGAGTAGCACAGTAGTCCAGTAGTCAACAGTCCAATATTTCAATAGTCCAGTAGTCCAGTAATCCCATTGTTGATTTGTTCAATTAGTCCATTATTCTTTTAGTCCAGTAGTACAGTATTCGAGCAGTCCAGTAGTTGAGTAGCACAGTAGTCCAGTAGCCTAGTTTTCGAGTAATTCAGGAGTTCAAAGGTCCAAAAGTCAAGTAGTCGAGTACAGTCCAATTCAGTAATAGTCCATTATAGTCATGTAGTCTATTAGTCTACTTTATTCCTGTAGTCCAGAAGTCCTTCACTAACACCCCCCCTCCCCCCCGGCCCTACATCCCACCATGA